TCAACTCAGGGTAGGCCCGGGGATGCCCGCCACAATATTAATGAGCAAATACCACATGTCAATTTTTGGCACTAATGCCTGTTCCATGTGCATCGTCAGGATCAAGCAAAATGGAAGGTTTTAGCTTTAAACATCACCTTTTGAGTAAAAACACATCAAAATCCTGAGAGGTTTCATTAAATATACGTAAATGTGGGAAAAATTATGAGTAGTACATGTTCTCAACCACAATGTTGTCAAAATCAAGTTTTGTCAAAAGAGGATCACCATGATTTTTGACACACCATCTTGACTCTTTGATGCTCGGAGTGTTTCCTTATCTATTTGAATCCACTGAAATCTTCTTGAAGTCAAATTTACAGCTATTCAGAAAGTTTGTAGGCTAAAAATGAGTCAGTTTTAACATAGCCCTGATATGGAGGTCTGATATGGAATACCCGTAGGTTGGATGGAGTCAGCCCCCTTCAAGTTCCCTTTCTTGGGTCGAGGCTTCTGTCTTAAATTGGGCAGGCCATAGTGGATCACCACTCACTTTCACGTAATGGCCACTTACAGACATGGACATGGAAGGTACAGGTACTTTTCAAGCTTGGCATGCGGGAGTCCACTGCTGTGCAGGTGACTTCCGTTGAGCCACTGAAGTCTGAGCCGCTTGCTTTGTTACAGGTTACTGTGGCTGGTTGTCCATCACTCTGTGTCGCTGTTGGGATGGCCCATGTGACGCCCACTGCCTTGTTCTGGCCAGGCGTAGGTCCCCTTTCAATATCTTCTGGGCAGCCCACTGGGAATTTTGGAACTGTTGGAAGACAGAATGGACCCAGGTACAACACAGTTTCATGTAATATTCAATGTATTTTCATGAATTATTCAATTCATCCTTGGAAACAATTCTTTGATGTCTCGTGAACTGGCCCATTTGTATAAACATGTAGGCTGCATGGCTTTGCAGTGTTCCCTGTGAACCACTGCAGGTTAATAGCTGATCCTTTTTCTGGTTTCCTGAGGTGGGTGCAGTCTTGCAGGAAATTGTTCACATATGTATCATTCAATATTATACAATGCTAAAAATGAATCTGTGGAAGTGAAACAAATTACGAATCAGATGAGTTTTGAGGCTTTTCATGGTGAAGGTAGTATGGCAGAGCCACAAATAAGTATTGTATTACATACATGTTTGACATAGGAGTAGTTCCCCTTTGAAAATGTTTAGCTTTAGTTTAGAGTTCTTGATTTTTCTAATAGTGCGCCATTTTTCCCGTTACTTTTTTACTTTTTGGTGGAAGATCCGGGTGGGGAATGTGTTTTTTGGTAAAACTAAGCTTGAAATGGTTTTAGTAGGGAATAGGTCATTTTTCTTCTTATTTTGAAGGGTTGTCGGTCTTTTATGTTTATTGGTCAGAGGTTAGGTTCAAACCAACAGAGTGTTTTAGTGGATCTGTGGGTGGATACCAGACACGATGGCAGAAGCACTGACTACCCTTCAGCTGTGTGGATTTGATCCACTTCCCAATGGTTTCATCCAAAGTTGCCAAGAAGAACTATTAACTATTGACCAACAGTCAAGCATCTTACAGTTACTGCAGCATCAAGCCTGTATGCAGAGAGCCATACTGCAACAGTTCTAACAAATCCACACACTGAAGGCGATGATCACCCAGATTATTGGTGAGCAGCAATGACAAAATAATTACTTCCAAAACCTGGAATCCATGCTGAACCGTGAAAGAAGAGGTCTCCCAAAGATGTCCCAGTAACCCCAGTCACCATCAATGAGTCTACACCCAAGAGTCCTGAAGCCCCCAGAGTCCCCTCTAGACACCCAAAAGCAGTCCCTGTCAGTGCTCGAACTAATGACGAGCCAAACCAAGATGTGCAACAAGATGTGGCCACAGTCTACGGGAAGCCCAGCAGCGAGATCCAGCCGTATAGAAGGTCGTGGATATGAAGCTGGATGGTCCAAAGAGGACGAGTCGTAGCAAGATGGCCCATGAGCCCAAGGTGGTGTAGCGGCTGCTACTGATGTGGGATAACCTAGAAGTGAAGGGTGGCCTACTGTTTTTCAGGACTGGTGGAAACAACATCAGATACTTGATGGTACTACCCCATGGCGTACATGAGGCAAAACACCGGAACCAGTTAAAACAGAATTCTACAGCTGGACTGCAGATGTCCATCCTTGCCATTCCTCCATCAGAGGAGTTCCAAGACTCAAGTAGGGCCTATATGAAGAGTCATTAAATACCAGTTGTGTACCTAAATGCCTGAATATATTTGGTCGGTACCTTGAATTTAATACAACGATAAATGTTTTCCCTGCTGTTATGTTAGAGGATGCTGTACAATGCGTGTTAATATTTATATTAAATTCATTTTCATTTGCATTGCTGAGGACAGTAATGACTTAAGAAGGGCAAGTGTGACAGATCCAGTCAAATACACGTTTTTACATAGGAGTAGTTCCCCTTTAAAAATGTGTAGCTTTATAGAGTTCTTGGTTTTTCGAATAGTGTGCCATTTTTCCCCATTTCAGTAGCAAGTAGGTTACAGAGGTTTTTGGAAGTACCATCAAGAATACCTCTTTCTGAGTATGTGGTTCTGAAAAGAACTGGACAGTACCTAACCTTTCGGACGGTATGCTCTGTTCATTGTCAGGAGACTGCAGAGGGTCCAACGATGAAGCTGCTACATTGTGTTTGGAAGTGGAGAGGTGTCAAGAGAATGCTAACTCAGGATCCAACCCAAATGAATCCCTTATTAGTGAACTGCACCTTACGCATTCGCAATCACACAGGAAACTATTTTGAGGTGCTGTCAATTTACTGTCATATGCACACTGACTGTGAAGATCCTTACGGAGAAGTCACTGATTTTAACAAGACTTTTTCGAAAATGCTGCCCGCTGAATATTTTGCATTAATCATAGCAAAAGAAAACCTTACCTTCACCAATAGTGACTTTGAAGCTGCACGTGGCCTTGGATGGAAAAGTGCCAGAATCAGAATCGGTTGCAAAGCAAGTTACGTCCGTTTCTTGATTATTGGGAAAGCCGAAGTCTTGGGGGGGGACACAGGTGACCACTGCTTTCTCGATCTGACGTGAATCAATTGCTCCAGTGGGTTCCAAGTAGGGAACAACAGTTGTATCTCCATTGCCAGGGGAATGAATGATATCATTTGGGCAACTCCTATCAAATGTTGGATCTGTGTGTGGGAAAAAACAAACTGAACATCAGTGCCGTGATTTGACTGACCAAATTTATGATGGATACTGGAAAAAGTGGAAAACAATTTAAGTCGTCATTGTAACACATGANGCCAGCCGATGCGGAGGGTCGCGAATATGAAGCTGGATGGTCCCAAGAGGATGAGTCGTAGTAAGATGGCCCATGAGCCCAAGGTGGTGCAGCAGTTGCTACAGGTGTGGGATAACCTAGAAGTGAAGGGTGGCCTACTGTTTTACAGGACTGGTGGAAACAAGATCAGATACTTGACGGTACTACCCCATGGGATGAGATACAACATTTTAATGAGCCTTCATCACTAAGCTTTGGACAGGGGCTGAATCTTTTGCAGCAGAAGTTTTTGGGCCCAAGCTTCCCAACGAGACCATGGCGTAAACGAGGCAAAACACCAGAAACAGTTAAAACAGAATTCTACAGCTGGAATGCAGATGTCCATCCCTGCCATTCCTCCATCAGAGGAGTTCCAAGACTCAAGTAGGACCTATATGATGAGTCATTAAATACCAGTTGTGTACCTAAATGCCTGAATATATTTGGTCGGTACCTTGAATTTAATACAACGATAAATGTTTTCCCTGCTGTTATGTTAGAGGATGCTGTACAATGCGTGTTAATATTTATATTAAATTCATTTTCATTTGCATTGCTGAGGACAGCAATGACTTAAGATGGGCGAGTGTGACAGATCCAGAAATGAGTATTTTATCAAATACCCGTTTTTACGTAGGAGTAGTTCCCCTTTAAAAATGTTTAGCTTTATAGAGTTCTTGATTTTTCGAATAGTGTGCCATTTTTCCCCATTTCAGTAGCAAGTAGGTTACAGAGGTTTTTGGACATACCATCAAGGATATCTCTTTCTGAGTATGTGCGCTTCTGAAAAGAACTGGACAGTACCCAACATTTCAGATGGTATGCTCTGTTCGTCGTCAGGAAACAGCACAGGTTCCAACGATGAAAGCTGCTATATTGTGTTTGGAAGTGGTGAGGTGTCAAGAGGATGCTAACTCAGGATCCAACCCAAAATGAATCCCTTATCAGTGAACTGCACCTTACGCATTCGCCATCACACATGTATGTATTTTATGGCAATTTTTTTCGAGGTGCTGTCAATTTACTGTCATATATGCACATTGACTGTGAAGATCCTTACAGAGAAGTCACTGATTTTAACAAAACTTTTTTGAAAATGCTGCCCGGCTGAATATTTTGCATCAATCACAGCAAAAGAAAACCTTACCTTCACCAACAGTGACTTTGAAGCTGCACGTGGCCTTGGATGGAAAAGTGCCAGAATCAGAATCGGTTGCAAAGCAAGTTACGTCCGTTTCTTGATTATTGGGAAAGGCAAAGTCACTGCGGGGGACACAGGTGACCACTGCTTTCTCGATCTGACCTGAATCAATTGCTCCAGTGGGTTCCACGTAGGAAACAACAGTTGCATCTCCATCTCCAGGGGGATGAATGATATCATCTGGGCAACTCCTATCAAATGTTGGATCTGTGTGTGGGAAAAACCAACTGAACATCAGTGCCCTGATTTGACTGGCCAAATTTATGATGGATACTGGAAAAAGTGGAAAACAATTTAAGTCGTCATTGTAACACATGC